TGAATCATGATTCACTAAAATTCGACTGATAAGTGACTCTATAAACAGAGTGAAATTTTCCACTCAAAATTGTAGAGTGACATAATTCATCATATGAACATTGATCTCGAAAAGAGTGCCCTTTTACTCAAATGAAGTGCGATTTCATTCCAACTGATAGAGTAAAATTTTATTCTTTCTTACAATTAGAGTGGCGAATCACTCGAAGTGCACAGGCTCAATTTTCACGTTACACTTACATTTCACTCGTTTTGAGTGATACTTTATTCTTCGACTTTTAGAGAGTAAAATGCGAAGAAAAATTTTCTAAATAATGGTACTCGTCGCTTTAAGATTCCACCAGTTTCTAGCACTTCCTCACACACGTAAGGAGCAATAATATTCGAAAAGACATCTCATGCACCTTTCGATCAAATAGAAACGCGAAACTCCTGGTATTTAAGGGGCGTCCTTAGGAGGTAGATGAATGACGGAAAATCGGAGAAAGGATGCAGGACGAAGAGGACGCGGGAAGCGGAAGGGAGAAAGAACGAAGTTTCTTGCAGGATTGAGCCCCTCAAAGTGGCTCGACAAGTCGTTATAAATTGTCGCAGAGTCGGCTCCTGATAGGATACTGTGTATATGGCGCGGGGGTATAAGTTGTGGGGTCTGGGTATAAGTTCGACAATCGGAAAGTTCCTTCCGGTGGAAAGGACAAATTAATTCCGCTAAGAACAAAGACGGTTCGGGAATAAATTCACCGTTTTTAGTTGGAGAACCGCATTTTGATAACGTTGCCGGAGTTTGATTGGCTAATTAAGAAGGTTAAGATTTCGCATGAAATCTGAATTTGAATTATTTGAAAAATGTTATTTAAAATTAAACAAATGATAATCTTGAGGATCATATATTTAATTATCTGAATAATTGTAAATGAAAAAATGTCTAATAAATTAATAAAAAATTAAGTATAAAATATTTAATATAAAGAAAACTTAATCCGCCAGTGGTTAAAACAAAATCAATTATTTATTACTCGACTACCTGGCTTAAATTATATATAAGTGCACAACATAAAATTTTTAAATATTCACAAATATTTAAAAAATTATTAAATACTACGAAATATGCATCATTTACGTCAGACAAAAATCAAAAAGTTTAGCGGAAGATTAAAAGTCCGCCAACGTATCAACGGAAAATCGAATATAATTTATCCCCACAAAGGCAGAGCTGAAAAGCTCTGGTTTCACCTTAATTCCTTTCTTTCATTCGTCCTTTTTTTTGTCCCTTCATCTTTCGCCATTCGGAGAAATCTCTCCTTTGTCTCGTTTTTCACAAGTCGTCAAAAATTAATTCCTAATCGAGTTAGCTCTCTTTCCCGGCGCGGAACTCGTTAAAGGAAGTTGCGTCGTCCTTTGTACAACGCCCAACTCCACGAGTATGCTCCTCCACTTTCTCTCTGGATCCTCGCTCAGCATCTATCTAGCTTGCAGTCCTAATCGCATCGAGATAAAAAAGTTCACAAACCATCACCGCTGAAGAAATTATCGCGGTTCTGTTTGTCCGAACTTTTCTATAAAGCGTTCTATAAAGTCGACAGCAACGGATTGGTGTTGCGATCTTATCCCTTTCCGCAAGGAGTTTTGGCATTCGGTCTTGGTATCTGCGGAAACTCGAAAACATTGATTATTGATTGGGATAACAGCATCTATATATATATATATAAAACAAAGTCGGGTTAGTTACACCACTTATAACTCAAGAACGGCTGGGCCGAATTTTTACCACAAGTATATGAAATAGGGGTAGAATTTTCTGGAATAGCAGAATAACTAATAAAATATCGGAAAAATTCACGTAAAAAAAAATTAATCTAGAAAGATATCCAAATACATAGAAAAAATACATAGAGGGAGGGAGAGAGAGAGAAAGAGGGAAAGAGGGAGGGGGGAAAGAGAGAGAGAAAAAGAGGGGGAGAAAGAGAGAGAAAAGAGGGAGAGAGCGAGGGGGAGAGAGGGAGTGGGAGAGAGAGAAAGAGAAGGAGAGAGAGAGAGAGAGAAAGAGGGAGAAAGGGAGAGAGGGGGAAAGAGAGAGAGAGTGAGGGGGGAGGGAGAGAGAGGGGGAAAGGGGGAAGAGAAAGGGAGAGAGAAAGAGAGAGGGAGAGAGAGGGACTATTTGCGTGTCTTATCATTACATTCATTACTGTTAGGCGGTACGAAGTTCGCCGGGGCAGCTAGTAATTTATATTGACGATCTTATCAGCGGTAGAATCGAATTCTTCCAGGATATTCTGAAAAAGTGATATTATATCGCGCGCGTTTATCATAGAATGGTTGCAGAATGATTATAAATCGTAGCTCAGAAGTAAAGTTACACAAAAAAAATCAATGAAAAAATAGACGTAAAAGTGAGAGGAAAAGAATTAATTATATGCCGCGAGGCGCAGGAATGCCAGTCGATTTTCATCTGGCGGAAATGGCGAGGCCTCCGGCCCCTGCTGCGGGAGTAGGTATCTCGCTTCCACTTTCGACAGGGTAATACCGTTACATCAAAGACCGGGGGCCCCGCGCGAAACTTTTAAGTCACTTTTGATGTAAAGCCGACTGTGCCGCTGCGCAAACTACTTTCCGCCGCCGAGTACTATTTTCCCCAGCGCTCCTTAAACAAATTCCCAGCCATCAACGAGAAGCCGCCGACTCGATGCGGAAAACTCTCGGAAGATCACGCGATATATTATTATTTCGCGATTTGCGATTGTTACGATCAGCTACAGTTTTTACTGTAAAAAATAGTCGCTATTACTCAACAATTCTCAATAAGAAATGATATTAGAGGAAGTTGAAGTAATTTGGATCATTAAGCTTTTTTCAAGATATCTTGAAAGTTATTAAAGATAACTAAGCTTTGTTTTCGCTGAGTTGTAATGCCAAATGTTTGTTAAAATGTGTTTTCTTAACAAATTTTGTTTATTTACAGTAAATTTAATGTTATAATAAATTTTTCGAAGGTAGATTTTTGTGAAATAATTTGAATCATGTTGAGCAAGGTAAAATACCTAATTAATCTTGTAAAAAAATAATTTTACTCATTTTAAGGCAGATTAATAATTGAATAGTTTGTAATAATTATTATATTACATATTTATTATATTCTAATTTATTTAACAAATTCTAACTTTTGTGCTCTTTGTAACAATGGCATACAAATATCTATGTAAAACATATACATGTTTAAAACTTTTACTCATAATAATATATACCTACTTATAATGTACACTTATCATAATATTATTACTCGTGAGAGAAAGAAACAATAAAATATAAAATGCAATACTTATAAAAAGTAAGACACGTTGTGAGTTGTGACAAGTTGCCACTTTGTACGCTAGGTTAAAAAGTCAGCAGCTAAGGGCCTAAGCAGAATGGCTGTCTTGGCAGTGTTTTATGCCTTAAGTCTTTGTCTTATGTAATGCACAATGCTGTACAAGCCATTCTGCTTAGGCCCTAAGTTGTAATACTTACAATTAATAATCTAGATATCGTGATGGTTCACGTTGCTCACGTGTTTTAAATTATCCTAACTTCGTCTTGTTCGTGAAAAAATTATCGATGTACTCTGGCAAAAATAAAGACAGAAATAACTCACTTTAGGGCCCACGATTACGCGTAACTAAAAATCGTAATTAGCTATTCTATCGATTTCAAAGATTTTTAAGTTATACTAGTCAATTCTCTCAATTAGTTCTGTCGATATTCAGTTACGCAAAAATAACTTTTCACTTAAGGGGCACTAACCAAAATGTTAATTAGAGTTATCCAAATAATTTGATTATCTAAAATCTCGTGGGTCCCAAAGTGGTTTATATTTTTCCCAGAGTATATATCCTTTAATATTTAACAATTTTCTATATATTCTATATCTTGTACAATCTTAATAATAATTAACTTTTTAAACAACTAAACAGATAATTAAATATTTCTTTCATTCAACTTTAAATCATATTTTTCAAATAATACAAATTCAATAAAATTTTCGGACAAAATCTCAATCTTCTTAATTTTCCAATTAAACTGCAGTTAAAAAGTAGTAAAAAAGAGGTCATTAATTATTACGAAATATATTTCTATTATTACCAATTAATTGCGTTGATAATAAACTCGTTTTTCCGCGTGAAATAAGGTTGCGTCTGAAGACGCCCAAGGCGCAAAGGAACACAAAGACATCTCCATCGTCAAATTATTCCCCTTTCTATCCCTAAGAACACCAGGAGTGATATTCCACAGCGAGTAGCAGGCGACCCACATGACGGCAGCACGCGAGCCGTCCGTTTCAGGGTCAGCGGGTTAATTCCCAAAGGTGATTGATCTCACCCGGCCACGAAAGGCTGCGAAGGTGCGAAAGGTAGAAAGAGGAATAAACACGTGTACAGAGTCAATACGGAACGCGATAGTTAGAAACGTAGTGAGGAATACTCCGAAACTGACGTTGAAAAATGCACACGCTCAAAGTTTAAGATTTCATCTTAACAAAGATTCTCACATCAATGCACCAAATTATGTAATTTTGATTTCAAAATTAAAGAACAGGGATTTGTTTCTTGTTTCCGTACACATATACGAAATGTTAAAATTCAATATTAATTGTGATATCCGAGATATTTAATATCACCGATTCAAAAATATTTAATATTGTTAATCGCGGCCCGATTAAGTAACAACGTATGAAATCCTAAACATATATCATTAACCCGTCTGTATCCTCGTAATATAAAATAAATTAATCAGTCCCGCAGGACGGAAAAAGAAGAAGACGGAAAAGGCAGGGCAAAAGCTCACAATGCTAATGAGCTGGCAATTCGATCCTGCAACAGGACCCAAGGGGCTAACACGAAGTTCTCCTCCTTCTCCACCCCCTAGCCGTTCTTTGTGCACCGGCCTTCTTTCCACTCGCGAACCAAACCCATCCGTTTCTATCTCTCTTTTCCGAGCGCTCCGGCACACTCCATTTAATTCACTCACCGTGAAGAGCCTTCAGGTACGCCTTGCCTGCGTTGATCAGCTGCCTTGCTCCAGGGTTGAACTTATCCAAGATATTCTGAAAAAGAAAAAAGCATCCTTCATAAATTGCATTGAACTAGGCTGAAATATACCGAAATTTAACTTTCTGTCAGCCATCTGGGACTTTAAGGTAGGCGTCTCGCTACGTGCTAGTCATGTGACTGTTTGTAGGTTTTCACGTTCAGAAATATATTTCAGGCAATTTTTGCTAAGGAAAAAATAATTTTATGAATTATGGTGTAAAATTTCATACGTGACAAAGTATGTTACTTTTTCCAAATTATGTGATTTTTCTCATTTGACTCCGTTTTGATCAGCTGATCATGCGAGTCGTCGAGAAAGGTTACAAGTGAGAAAAATACTTTTTGATTGAATTTTGACAAATGACAGGGGTGTCAATCACTATCCAATTCGGCTAAGAAAGACGAGCTCCATAACCTGCAACTACAGTGATTAGCCAGCGGCGTTGGCAAGTCTTCCCAACCTCACCTCGACCAAAAAATATCTGCTCGATTACCGCATTTTCACTAAAATAAACTAAAAAATTAGCAGCGAAATCTCCGGTAAACTATATATTTTATAGTTGCATTGGATTCTTCGAAATCTAATGTACGAAAAGCAATGTTTTTTCTCACTTCATCTAATCGAAAAATGCGAAAATATGTGATTGAAACCGTGATAGAGCCTTCTTTTTCTGGCCGTCTGTATGAAGTAATGCAAAATTTGTGATTTTCGAGATCGATTTTCTAGAGTAAATAGTTGGTAAGGAGCCACAGAAAAAATCGACTGCAAAGCTGATCATATAATTTGATATAAAATCCGAAATCGAAAACTTTATCTAATACATGCCCTGACGAGACGACTACCTTAAAGATCCAAGCAAAACTTCCTTGCGTTTCGTGGAGAGAAGGAAGTGATGTTTGGCATTCCCCCTCCTAAAAAATAGTTGACAGTAGAGGGGTTTCGCTGCTGTAATGACGCCGGTTTCCGTCAATGCGTGTTCGAGTAACAACTCGACAAAATTAAGGCTGTGCCCTAAACGACCCAGACGGCTGACGGCGTTAGTGTTTACCAGCGTAAGTAAATGTTGCCCCGGATGTATTGATAGCCAGTTCCCGGGGCGCCCCCACAAGCGCAGTGAAGGACACCCGTGAGGTTTTAGTGGGTAGGCTGCACGTGCCGCTTGCGACACGCGTAGAATCCCACACTCCCCTCGTTCCTCTTCCCGGAGGGCGAGGGGGTCTTCCCCCCCCTGACACCGGGGGGCTACTGGGCGTAGCCCGGTAGTTGAAGATTTCCTCACGTTAAAAAAAAAAGCGTAAGTAAATGTATCTTTTTTCGTTTTTTCACTATATTTCTAATAATTTTTGTTAATTAAAGCACTTCTATCATTATTATTAGAGCATTATTTATCAAATGGCGAAAAGAAACGCCGAACAATATGATACTTTTGTACTTTTTATTTATAATTTTCTTTTATATTTGTAACGATATTTTATATAACCAACAATTTTTTACAATAAAAATTTATTTTTAAGCAAAAAAAGTTAAACTTTATTTTTCTCTGTATCCCCTCTAAAATTTCACAATTTTTATTTGTTAAAATAATTATACTTTTTGGAGTCTCGACTCAAATGAGACTATTCTTTTAAAAGGTCATAGTCTCAAGTATAAAACCCAACGATTATTTTTGTTAAACATTTATTTGTTGCAAATAATAATAAGAGAAATAGAACCGTTATACGATATACAATCAAATTAGAATCAAAATCATACGGTCCAACCTTGGGTCTTTGACAGCCTTATATTAATTTCCGTGTGTGTGTATATATATATATATATATATATATATATAACATCTAAAAACTGTAAGAAATTTATTGCGAAAAATATTACCTCAGCCAGGATTCGTACCTGAAACCTCTCTCATTCCGTGAAGGGTGTCGTACCAATTCAACTACCGAGGCATGTGGTATATAATATTTATCATAAATCATGCCTCGGTAGTCGAATTGGTAAACGACACCCTTCATGGAATGAGGGAGGTTTCAGGTTCAAATCCTGGCTGAGGTAATATTTTTCGCAATAAATTCTTTTCAGTTTTTAGATAATTAAATCGAGTCGATTTAATTCCGGGGAGAGAAGAGTATTAATGTTCTAACGATAGCTGTGTTTCAAGTCCGACAAATAATCGGCACGCAGTTAAATAAGTTGGAAAAATTGGTATATATTAGGGTGGCAATATTTTTGGGTTAAAAATTTGATTTTAAGTCTCACCTCTTAAATTCGTTCTACGAACTCTCAAATGAAGATCCTTGAAGAGCAGGCGCTGTAACTTAATATTTAGAAGTTGCTCAAAGTCTCTAAACATTAAATTTTGTTTTCGAAAAAGTGGTAAAAAACTGCATTTTTCACTCATTTTCACTGCTAAATTTTTTTAGTTACCTTATTAAAGTACCTATATAGCCATCAAGTTTGAGGTACAACACATGAAACAAAAATGTAAATATAAGTAATCTTTGGTATAAGATCGTCTATAGCAAATATAAAATGATTTAACAAATTTAACCATTTTTTAACCATCCACGAGTTATAATCTTGTTTTGTAAGTAAATATATCAAACGCCACTTTAGAAAAACATTCTATTATCTTCAAACTAAAGCCTCTCTAAAGTTATATGCTATAGCTTAAAAATTAATGGTCGTTAATTGCTTCAAAATATTGCTATTTTATTAAATAGTGCACTTAATGTAACTTTCTACATTAAATCCTTTTATTATTTTGGAAAATAAATTATATTATCAATATATCATTTAAATTAAGTCTACGTTTCTCGCAGGAAGTTTTCATGCATCGCATTTATCAGATTTCATATAGTTTACGCTATAGGTGATTGTTTTAATGAATTTTGTAACGTACTACATACAGTCGGATACTAAGAAAAAAAGGTTGCAACATATGAAATTGGCCGCGTATCGGACCTCTTCTTCTTCCTTGGGTAATGGCTCCGACCCAGCGTCGTTCTATCTTTGTTACTTACTGAAAATTGAACAAGGACAGAACGCGACGCAGGTGTGCATCCGAGTGAAGTTTCCAAACGCAGCCTAAAAGGTTGCAAGACATTAAACGCGTATCGGATCTCTTCTTCTTCCTTAGGAGCCATTACCCAAGGAAGAAGAAGAGGTCCGATACGCGGCCAATTTCATATGTTGCAACCTTTTTTTTACTAGCCGACTGTACACTCTGCCGGCAGGAATGCCTGGACATAATACATATACATATATATGTACGTATATATCATATACATATATATATATTATTTTCCAAAATAATAAAAGGATTCAATGTAGAAAATCACATTAAGTGCACTATTTAATAAAATAGCAATTAACGACCATTAATTTTTAAGCTACAGCATATAACTTTAGAGAAACTTTAATTTGAAGATGATAAAATGTTTTTCTAAAGTGGCGTTTGATATATTTACTTACAAAACAAGATTATAAGCAGTGGATGTTTAAAAAATGGTTAAATTTATTAAATCATTTTATGTTTGCTATAAACGATCTTATACCAAACATTGCATTAATTACTTATATTTACATTTTTGTTTCATGTGTTGTACCTCAAACTTGATGGCTAGGTACTTCAATAAGGTAACTAAAAGAGATTTAGCAGTGAAAAATACAGTTTTTTTACCATTTTTCCGAAAAAAAATTTAATGTTTAGAGGCTTTGAGCGACTTCTAAATATTAAGTTACAGTGCCTGCTCTTCAAGGGTCTTCATTTGAGAGTTTATAGAACGACTTTAAGAGGTGAGACTTAAAATCAAATTTTTGACCCAAAAATATTGCCACCCTAAAATATATATATATATATATA